ACTTTGGAGCATTTGAGAGAGATATGGCTGCTGGTAAGTTGGCAGACTTGTAACAGATGCATGTTCGTTCCAATGTATTTCTTTTCATGCACATGCTCAGTGAGGTAGTGTATGCCCTTTTGGCAGGTATGGTGAACCGTCAGGACAATGGCTTACACACTGTGGTTTGTCAGTGGTTTGTTACATCATCGCTTTGAAGTTTATATATACTAACCGAAATTGTACAACCTCACTGGTCGTCTCCCCCATGTTGTTGTAGTAGACATCACACTTACACAGACACACTTTTGAGTAATACTGTATGTCTCCTTTGATGCATGGTGTAGTGAATGCATTATGGTGTAAAAATATATTATAGTGCTGAAACCTTTCTGTAAATTACATTTTGTTTCTGCCAGTGTTTCAAATGATTATAGTATTCCTCAGACAGCAGACCATCATTAGTGTTGCTCATGCTCTGCATGTGAGAGATGAGGGTGAGACATGGTCTCAGGTGCATTTGTGCACGTGTGTGTGTGTGTGAGGGGGAGGCAGGGAGAGGGACTGTGTCTACACAGTCGTTCCTCTAACGTCCGTCTTGGTGTCGTCTTCTTTCTTCGATGTCCTTGAACTCACCTGGACGTACGTGAGGCTCCAGCTTGTCCCCATGTCCTCACTAACCAACGGCTGCCAATGACGTGGTTCTGCTCCTCATCTCAAATCAGTCATCATCTCCTGGTCATAGTGCACTCTGGTAACCATCACCATGGGAACTGTTGCGCATGTTATGCATGGTCTCCAAGGAAACCAGGCTAAAAAAAAAAAAAAAAAGTCTCCCTCTTGTCATGCTCAGTGCTCGACTGGAGTGCGAGTGTGTTCCTGCGCTGTGAAAATGAAAGTTCACGCTGAGAGAACATGCTGGAGATGAAATAGACAAAGTGAGAGAGAACAAACTGTATTCTTGTAGTGATTCTGCTGATCAGGGTTTCTGACTCAGTAATGGAATCACATCGCAACAGTGGAACCAGAGCTGCTCTGGTTTTTGTTGGACACGATTGTCCTCCACGTGAGCTTCATTCCCGAAGGTCCAGAGAGGAAAGGCTTCAAAGAAGCTTCTTCAAGGGGTTTCAGGCCCTCAAACTAGCACAATACATCCAAAATGTCCCGACCTTCCATTGTTTTTACGTAAGTGTATTTAGGTCAGAATAATCATTTAGGCTCCAGTCCACCTCCCTGTTGGGCATGTGATCACAGGCCCACATTGATTCTCTTATTTTCCTTGGATTTCTGCATAAACAGCTGGCGGACAGAAGGTCACACGTGCAGTCGTTAATGACCAGGACCTGGATCATTACAGAACTTTGTCATGTTTTCAAAACCTCAGCATTAGTCATTAGTCCAGCATCGCGTCCCTGACGTCGGCTGCAGCCGGGCTGCCATTGGACGCCCATGATTGTTGTTCCCCTGCTGTGGTTCTTCCTCTTTTTACCCTGTGACTGTGATCCAATGACAACAATGGACATTTAGTTCCACTAAAGCAGCAACAGGGAAGCTGTTGGTTTCTGTAAGGGTAATATATAAATACCAATTCTATGCTCCCCTCCTCCCCCCTCCTCCCCCGACCTCCTCACCCCACTTCAGTGACTGTTAGGTTTGGCTGCAGCCTCCAGCAAAACCCTGGCATAGAAGAGAAATGAAGCTGACCCAGCAGGGGGCAGATGTGAGAGAGGAGGACAGAGGAGCTGTTCTTCAGCACCACAGGTCTGAGCATCAGCTGTAGCACAGACTGCCCTCGTGGAGGAACGTGAAAACTATGTTTAAAGACGTAGATATATTGATTTAAGACAAATATAAAATGAGTAGACAAGTTTCAATGATATTTAAATATTGATGTTTTTACATTTCAAATTGAGAAGGTCCAGGGTGAGGGTGAGATATTAGGTTTACTGACTGCAGCTTTATTATAACCTCACGAACACTTAGTTTTACTCTGTTTAACCAGTATGGAAATTTACTGTGAAAAAAATGTGTCAAATTTATACATTTACTATCTACATCCTCTTATGCAGCCTTTAGGGAACCTGGGGTACAGATGATGCTCAAGGGACGATCAAGATGGAAATGAAACGTTGAAAACACACACACACACACACACACACACACACACATATATAGGTCTTTTTTTTCAATGAAATACTTTATCTGTTTTTACTGCAGTAGTAGATTCATCCTCCCTGTATACTTGTGCAACACTAGTGTGTAATGGTGAAAAACAAAACTAAAAAAAATCTGACAGTGTGCCCTGAACTCAACAGTTTTTGTTTTTATAAAAAACAATTAATATAAAATAAGAGCATTTCACATCTTCGCCGGAATATTCTAGAACTGAATACGCTTTGTTTTTACGTCATGCCAGTGCTTTTGGTGTAAACTACGGAATGCGCGGTACTGATAGAGTATGGCTCCCTCTAGTGGTATGTGCCTCTTAGTGGAGCTTTTACAGAAACTGTTACTATCGGAGCAGCACAGAGCTAAGCCGAGGCTCTCGCCACACAGTCTGTCTGTGTGTGGTGTGTGTGCGTGTGTGTAGTTAAAGTAACTTAGTGAAAGTGAACTACTGGTCATTGTGACACAGCACACCACTGCACACAACCAAATGTGACATGTAGCTGTTTTCTTTTTCTTAATTGGGGTAATGGTGTTAAAGAAAGGTATTAGACACTTAGAAAATTATTGCTGGAACAGCAGTGATAACTCATGTTTCTAATGCATTTTTGATCGGTTCTATAGTTACGTCAAATTGTCTCCAATTATTTGTTTTAATCTTGACAATAGAGGCCTTGGACAGAATGGCTGTATTGTTCTTTTTCAAGATGGTTGCCTGTTTCAAAACTGAATGTCTGTTTCTCATGCCGTAATTGAGTCGATAAAACAGTGAAAAACAAATTTCTCGTTCTCTGTTTTGTGTTGTAGAACAGTAATGTCACTTCAGTTCTTTACCAACTTTCCTTACAGTGAAACTACACATTTTGTTTTGAATGGTAACCAGTGGTTACAGGCAGCCATTTTGGAAAAGAACAATGCAAACAATTTGCTTTAAAGCCTCCATTGTACAACTGTGTAATCAACCCTGGAACATAAATCATGTCAAATCAAAGAGAGCTCAGTTGACATTATTTAAACAATATTCACTGCTTTGGATCAACACAAACATGCAGCTTTATTTAATATGAATGAATTGTGTCGGTGTTGAAAATAATGGCAAAAAAAAAACAAACAAAACATCTGTGTGCAAACACTGTCCAGTATTGAACACAAACAGTGTGTACATTTAAGGTGTACTCTTTTTTAACCTGCATGCAGTGCCACGCGTTATACTTCAAGCTAGACGTACTCCTGTGATGAGTACTGTGTGCTGTTATTGACACCAGACAGCCACCAGAGGGCACTGCTTGGACAGATTTCATCATTTACCGTAACAGACGCGTACAAAGACACCAGATGAAGTATTGGACTGACACAGTGTGAAGGATTGTGTTTAATTTAAAGACTGTTTTACTTTACATTTGATTTAAATGCGTCATGGCAAGAGAGGAGAGGGAAGGGGAGGAGAGGGGAGGGGAGGTCTGCCCTCCGTTTTTCAACCATCAGCTTGTACAGGCACTGCCAGCTGCCTTTTGGAACAGAGGTGCAAGACCTCAGTTCACGTCGACTCAGTCAACCCTACCAGGGAGGTTCAGAACCTTCACACAGCTCTGGTAGACGGCTCTCCTCCCGACATCCTGAAACGTGTCCACGAGTAGCAAAAGACCCTACCGGAGAGAGGGGGCGCTACAGTCACCCTCCTCACTCCACTGGTCCCACACTCTATGGTTTCGGTGCAGGGCGGCAGTAGCTGTCACTCTCCTGTGAGGTGGAGAACAGGGCCAAGCACCACCTGCTCTTCACACGTGACGAGCATCCTGATTGGACACGGGCAGCTCTCGTGCTTGAGCGACTGTGTCCACGTCCTGTGAAGTACACGCACTACTGTAGTAGTTAATGAAAAACGAAGAAGAAAGATGTGAAGCACAGGCTGAGACGGAGGAGGTTCATCTTACGTCAGGTTACCTGCCTGAAGAGAGGTCACTGATGGATTGAAGTGAAGGGGTTAACGGTGGTGGAGGAGTGGAGGCGCTCACCCCGATCTGAGCAGGATCTGAAACCTGTCCTTTTTTCAGGGGGGCAGGGGAAGCCTGCCCCCTGTCTGTATGAAAAAATGGATCACAGTAAGAGGAAAGGAGAACACATTTGTTCCTTCAAAAGGGGTCAGTTTATAAAAGTGTAATTCTATATTAAGAATTGACTCTTTTTTTACGACTGTGTTCTCTGACAGACAACCAGAGGTTAGAACAGAATCAGAAGTGTTTGCAACACAAATGGGAGAAGGATTTTCTAATGAAGGTGGAGGAGAACTCCATAGAACAGCTTTGTCCAGCTGTGTTACCATTGATTTGATCCAATTTTTATTTAACCTCTTATAGATGTGAGCATTTTCAAATCAGCAAATGTCACACTTTGAACCAAACTTGAATGGAAAAAAGTTCAAATGACTGAAGCTCATCAACAGGTTGGGATCTGAAACATTTCTTTTTGTGTTTTTCAGGGGACAGAACATTTAACAAAAGTGCATTTCATTCTTGACCCGGTGTCACAGACATGCTCCAGAAAAGGTGTAGACAGAGGTGAAGGAGATGGAGAGAAGTCCACCTGAACTCTTTCTTTCCAGGTCCCCAATAGTCCTCATGGTCCAAGGCCAGAGAGATGGGTGCATCCATCCATCCATCCATCCATCCATCCATCCATTCATCCATCCATACATCCATCCATCCATTTATTTTCATCTGCTTATCCGTACCGGGTCGTGGGGGCAGCAGTCTCCATGACCGGCACCAACCCCCTCTAAACCTTCCTGCAGGTGGTGCGTCCACTGGAAGGTACCGACTGCCCTAACCAGGATTCAAACCTGCCCTGGAGGTGAACCCTGGGGTTCCACACTAATGACAAAGACATTGCCTCTGGGCCAAAGCACCACTATGGGTGAGTCATGGAACTGAAAGAGATTTGACACACACACTCACACACCCATGTCCATTGATGCACTCCAGGCTCCACTCTCTTCCTGTGTGTCCCCTGTTTTTGTCCTGACTGCATTTTTGAAGACCTCAAAAATTGTCCTGACCAGATCACAAAACAGAACCTCCCCTAATTTAATGATTTTGTTTTCATGCATCATTATCCAATTATTTACCTAATAATGGTTCCCAAAGTACGTAGGATGGACCCTCCTACTGGGCACTTTAGGTATTGCAGGAGTTTCCGTTTCAACATTTCTTTCTTTGTGCAACGGTGGGAAATATTATTTGTTTAACTGATTTATTTTTGTTTGTTTGATAAGAATTGTAGTAAATGTAGCAGTGCATTGCTGTTAACAAAATGAATGTGAATAAGTGAATGTGTGGGGCTGAGAGTCACCTACCTACCTAAAGCAATGATGATATACCAACAAACAGTAGAACTTCATGAAGTCCCTGTGAAGTGAGTGTGAGTGTTTGCCGTGTCTCTATATGTGACTCTCCGGGGTGTAACCACCGGCCTCACCCAACGACTGTTGAAATTGGCTGCAGTCGCCTACAACCTTGACAGGATGTCAGAGCAGGAGATGGATGAATGAATAAATCAATTAAGTCTTGACAAGATAAAAGCCTGTGAAACGGTTCCTGCGCCTTTAAATCTCAGCTGCACTCATTCATTTATTCTTCTGGTAAAAGCAGGAGTAAGTCCCGGATTTATGACGCGCTGCCTTGGTACGAAACAGATCTCCAGTAGATGGCAGTAGTATTTGAGATCCTGCGTTGGTAGAAATTAAAAGACGTTGAGAAAAATGGTACACGCCCCACTTCAAGGCAACTCCTCCCTAACGGTGTAATGGAATTAACCGAGACAAACATTTCTGTGTCATCAGCAAAACAATGAAACAAACAGTAAATGGAAGAGGACGTACATAATTAAAGAAACAGTCCTCCTACAGCTGCCCCCTGTGGGACCCCACACTTGACACTATCTGGTGATGACACATGGTTTCATTTACTGGGACGCACACTTTGCTGTTAGATAATGGGGGTTTCGCTCGGTGCAGCGGTGTTCCTGATAAGCACACCCACGTTCTGCTTCTGTTTAATAAAATGTTATGATCGACTGTGTCAGGGAGGAGGATGTGGAGACAGGACGGAGGGAGACAGACGGCGAATTTTAATGAGGGAGGAGAGAGTTACAACTCATTCAAGATGAAGAAGGCAGCGGAGGGAAAAAAAAAAAGAAGTGGATTCACGCTGCTTATTTTAGACACAATGTGTTATTCTAAGGTAAAAACTCTGATTACTTTTACCTTAGAATGGCCTATTGGAGGCGCTAGAGAGGTTGCAGCTGTGTACAAACAAGCAGACACCAACACTAACCAACACCAACACACCATAATGATTCCATCCAGTGCTGAATTCATCACACTGGTTTTCCCTTTGTATCTCCTAATTAACAATACATTAACTTTAATAATTAATATGGGCTTCCCCTTTTGAACATGATGCTGTTTTTGGGGGTGGGTTTGTTTGCCCCTCAAGCTGGGGCAAAACTATATTCTTAATATGACAGAGAAGTTTTCATCATTTGACTCAAATTTGAGGGGTGAATGGATGGATGGATGGATGGATGAATGGATGGGTAGATGGATGGATGGATCGATGGTTGGGTGGATGATGGATGGATGGATGGATGGGTGGGTGGGTTGGTGGATGATGGGTGGGTAGATGGATGGATGGTAGATGGATGGATGGATGGATGGAAGGATGAATGAATGAATGGATGAATGGATGAATGGATGGATGGATGGATGGATGATTGGATGGGTAGATGGATGGATGGATGGAAGGATTAATGAATGGATGGAAGGATGAATGGATGAATGGATGGATGGATGGATGGATGATTTGTCAGACTTCAGAGTGGATAGACCGTGGATGTTTTCGAGGACTTTTGTGTTCTGCTCATACATAATCTTTTCTACTTCCTTCTCCATTCTCTCTTTCCTTCTTTATTTTGACATGTTGTAAACGTCTTACAGTCCATGACTAAAATGGGGTTGGTGAATTTTTCATGGCAGTTCAGTTCAGTTCTGATGCACTTTAACCCTAACCCTCATTACATCCACTCACTCCGTCTCTTTAGAGACTACAAACTGTGCACTTTGCACATAATGAGTGATTGAAAACTCACGCCAGTGCAGGCAGCGGCGGCGGCAGCAGCAGCAGCAGCAGCAGCAGCAGCAGCCTGTGTGGGCAACAGCAGCAGCAGCAGCAGCGGCAGCCTGTGTGGGCGGCTGCTGTTGTGGTGCAGGAGGTGAAAACACGCTGCCACATGAATATGTTTCCTTCAGGTGCTGAATGTGACAGAGAGATCTCCATCTCAGATTCCCTCACAGTCCAGGAGAGAGGGAACATGAAATGTCCATTTCTGGAGACAGTCAGACACTCATGCTCCCTGACAGGCTACACACTCTCTGTCTCTCTGTCGTGTCCTCACACATGATCCTCACTTGTTTTTCTGTCTCCCTGCTCCTGCTTTTCTCCACGTTCCTGTCAATTTTGCACCCTTCACTTTTCTATCTCCCCAGTTTTAGTTTCATTCCACCTTTGTCCCCTCCTCTTTTAAACACTCTTTTTTCCGCGCCTTCTTGCAGACTCCAGATGCCTCTCCTAAATTAAATGACATTCAGGATGTACACGGGTTATCAAAATGTCATACAGAAAATAGTTTGGAGTAGAATAGCCACTCCCTGCGTCAGGGCTCGGAGCCAGCGGCTGAAGTTAGCGTCCTCAGATTTATAAGCTTGTCACTTCTGTTTAGCTGCAGCCCTCTGAGTCCACGTGAAGATCCTACATGTTTCACCATAAAGGTCACACCGCCACCAGACGCAGCGACTGTACCTGATGGGGTCGTTACATACACGCCGTCACGCCTCATCGTTTCCTGAGCAGCGCCTGCTAGTGGCTAAACATCTTTGCCGACAACGCGGGTCATTTACATGACTCAGCACAGCTGTCTGATCTGCCTCTTCACACAGACGATGTGCCGCGTCACCGAGCGCCGCAGTCATGAGGATGATGTCAAGATGTGATTCACACCATTACATCATACTCATGATGTAATGGTGCAAACAATCGAGAATCACGTCATTTGCCCCAGCAACAGGGGGCGACTAAGATCTAACCTTTTTTATTTGTCAATCATTTAGAACGAAAATAGAAACCAGGAATCTTGACTTCTACTTCCTTGTTCGTTTCTGGAAACATCTGGGTTGTGGACTGAAGGTGGAACTGACCATTCCCCCGCACCCTCCCCCCCAAAAACAGGAATTTTAATAATTCAATAAATATTTTATATTGTGTTAAATGATATTTGAATTCATTTAATTCATTGAATTCAGAGAGCTTGCCGATGCTTACCCCAACGCAGGAAACGGAGCAGTACCTCCTGGAATTGGTAGGGCGGCGCGAACAGCAAGAAGAAGCCGAGAACAGAACCAAAACAGAAATATTTCAATATTTAATTCTATACACTGAGAATTCTGACATGTGCTGACATTCTCCATCTGGTACTAACCGAGCTGAGGAGAAGAGTCTGGGTCACAGTAGGTTTTGGGTGTCGACTAATGTTTGTTATTTTGTTGGAAACAGTAATAGTCAGAACAAGGGATACAAAAGAACCAGAGGAAGAAAGGCTGGAAGAGAGGGAAGATAGGAAAGATGGAGAGCAGTGTAATTATCTGTGGTCATGAAACTGTCCACCAGCTCCACTTCATTATTTATTACCAATCTTTCACAAACCCACAGAATCCCACAGGCTCTGAAAGTGTTCCCACTTCAGAGCCTCAGCTCTTGGCATTAGAATTTAAACAACTCTGATTCAGTTGTCAGAAAAGCAAAAGCTAACTGATTGAAAACCAAGAGTGACGAAGATGAATGAATTTTAATTTAATACGGTTTTTCATTTTTATACTCTGCAGGTCCAGATGCCATGAGCAGTGTGGGGTCAAAGTTCTGGACAAAAAAAAACACATCAGCATGTAGATCGGAGAGCCGCGAGACTTGAGCTTGACCTTTTAGGACCTTTGGACGATGGCCTGTTCGACCTCATGGACCACAGCGACACGCCCTCGGATTAACCCTGTGTTACCGGACAAAAAGGTGAAAAGTCAGTTTTACATCAACCATGCAGTAAGTGTGTGTGTGTGTGTGTGACCTTTGGCCTACTGCTTAACCTTTTATTTTCTATGAGCCCGTTAGACTTCATTTTTTATTTTTACATTTGTCTGTGTGTATTTGTTGCTCTGTTTGAAATTCAAAGATTAGATTTGTTTAATCTCCAATAACTGCGTACGTGACTGAAGCCTCAGTGTTTGACAAACTGCAGTCGTCTTGCTGCGGTCGATGTCTCTAAAGTGAGTATTTTCGAATTAAATAGACGTTGTCGAAGCGTGACAACGTCCCAGTGTGTCCTGGGAATAAATGTAAAAGGGAGGCAGCAGCACAGAGTCTGTGGCAGGAAATGATTTCAAACAAACTGATGTTGGACTGAGACCGAGGCCAAAAAATAAATCAGCTCAGAATTAGACTGTTTGTTTTTTAAAAACTGGGGGTTGCTCTGATTCCACCTTCACTGGCCTTTAAATCGTCCTGCTCCTCGAGTCACATGTACTACATACTACAGTCACATGTATATATATATGTTTTTCCTGTATAAATATATATGTACTGTATATATATATATATTTAATTTACCAAAAGTTTTGAATTGAATTGAATTGAATTGAATTGGGGGGGGGGGGCTGAGACGTAGTAAATGTTTACACCTGCCTGAGTCTTTGGCAGAGTACAGTATATTAGACTATTTAGAATGAAGGCAGTGACACGGGCTAATGTCTTTGGAAGGAGTCCACTGAGGTGGACCAGGTCCCTGTGAATAAAAAGTGGGACAAAGACTATGTTGAAATGGGATAATGTGGGACGCATCATTAGGTCTCAAAACGGTACCACATTTGATTGGACTCGTGCCGCAGTTTTCGAAATGTAGATCATGAATCCGCCAGGGGGCGTCAAAGTGCCTTAGGACTTTTGGATTATGATTAGTTTAAGTTGAGATTTTCATGGACATGAATGGGTTTTCATGGACATCGAGTTTGTTTTTAATCAAAGAATAATTTGGAATTTTTTTCTTGATTTTTGAAATCTGAAAAGTTCAACAAACTTCAGTCACAATCACGAGACAAAAGTCAAACCTACTGTCCTCACAGACACTAGATGAAGTCAAATATATCAGAATGAGGAATGAAAGCTTAGTTTGTGAGACAACCACAAAATAAAAAAAAAAAAAAAAGTGAATCAGACGGCACCGACGGCCTAATCAATTGCTCTGTCAGTTGAATCTCTGCTGTGGCATTTTAAACACCTGTCCGCGTCTCTGTGTGAGACGTTCGTGCTGAACTGCCTCCCCCTTCTCCTCCTACTCTTTCTCTTCTTCATCGTTCTCCTCCTCAGAAATGATGCATGGAGATTGTCCAGATGACCGTATGCTGAGCAGAGAACCAGACAGTTATAATTTGACACTTAAGTCAAGTGGACTGGAGACATTCCACTTTCACCCATAGGAGAACACAACTGGGGAAAATTGACAGCTCATTATGCTAATAGTGACGGAGCACCACGCTGCTACCCCGACCTCCCCTTGATGTTATTAGCATGTCATAATCAAATATTACATTGTACTGCTGAAGGCTTCAACCACAACCTCATGTTTGGTACAAGATACAAAACAAAAATACAGATCCATCATAATACAAGCTATTAAAGGCTCAGTAACGATGTGTATTAGTTAGGGATGTCCAATGTGAACTTTTTGCCAATATACGATATGCGATATTGTCCAAACAATTTCCGATTCCGATATTAACCGATATAGCCCCCCCCAGAGGACATACGTTTTTTTACTACTAAAAGTAGTTACATAATAAATTGCTCCTTATTAACGTGAAATCACTAGATGGCAGCATTGCAGCTCATTTTATTAATATATATTGATAATCAGGGAATTGTATGCAGAATGCTGGTCCTGTGGTTTGTACAGATAAACAAATAAAAATTACCAAGCCTATATCAGTATTGGTTGATATCGGAATTGGAACTTAAGTATTTGGAAAATATCGGATATCAGAAAAAAGTTAATATCAAACATCTCTAATATAATCAATAATACTTTGTTTTTTGGCTTTAAATAATATTTGAAATAAACAGTTAAAACTCCCAGCCCTGATAAATATAATAATTTTCGAATAAAAAACCACATCTATAGCAAACCTATTCTCTGCCGCAACAACAAAATCAAAGTAAACATTTAAATATGGATGGCTTTAAATATTGAAACAGGAAAATAATAAATATGGCAAAAAACAGGACTTACCTGAGACCACCGTTGTACATGTACATTTGTCACGGACGGGTGTTTCTTACAGCACGTAAACAACACGTTCTCAGATGACCTGGGCGTTGGCCTCCTTATTTGCCTGGTTGTGCATCAAGTGATGCTGCTGTGTGTTTGATCAGACATGTGCGAGCGTAGACCACGTCACTGCTGGTCCCCACACAGTAAACGGGCTGCTGGTTAATGAGCTGATTACCAGTGCAGCACATTGCGTTTCCTGTCAGCTGGTTCTTGTGCCTCCATTAGTGTTTGTTGTTGTTGTGCTTTGATAACATTTTATTGATGAATCACGTAAGAACACACAACAAAATACAAAGTGATTAATATTGTCCTGTGTTGTCATGATGTTCCCACAGAAGTCTTCTGCAGATGGCCGCCGACTGTATGTTAGTGGTAAAGCTAAACTTTTTAATGAGGAAACGATTTTGGTCACATATTTCCCAGATAAAAAGGAAGAAATGTCGCTGACCTCGGTGTGTTGGAACCAGTTCACAGTTAAAGATCTTGCTCATTAACTTTCTATGTGTTTTTACTAAATGTCCAAATTTTGGATCGTCTAAAGACAGATACTGTATATATATATATATATATTTTTTTTTTTACAGTAGTTTTCTATTCCTAGACAGGGAAATTACAGTGAAATGGTTCACTGATTGAAACTGGATAATTCTTTGTGTCATGGAGTAGAGGGTTGTGTTCAGGCTTAGGTTTTGACCAAGAAACCCTGTGATTACAAGCCTTGACCTCAGGCCACAGACTGACTTAGTATGATTATTTTGATGATAGTGGGGGTGGTGATGATGATGATGATGGTGGTGATGATGATGATGATGGTGATGATGATGATGGCGGTGATGATGATGATGGTGATGATGATGTTAATAAGGATAGTGATGATAGTTATAGTAATGATGATGATGATGACGATGATGATGATGACGATGATGATGACGATGATGGTGATGAGATGAGTGATGCTAAAGCTATTGTGATTGTGATGGTGATGCAGATGGTGCTGATGATTATGACCATCTTCTTCTTCTTTAACATTAATAACAACAGTTCTAATAACAGCAGTGATAATAAATCATACAAAACCATACACTAGCTTCACCTTTGAAGCACTACCGTCTATACAACACTAATAGTGTTTAGAACTGCTTACAATCGGTCGTCCCAACACAGGGAGCCTGCTATTGTCCAGTTGTTATTGTCACTCTATTATCACTTTTTAAATTAATTACTTTCCCCCCAATATTTCCACTGTTTTCAGTGGCTGTGATACATTCAGCATCTGTTTAAAGCAGAAACTTTTAAAAACACACAGAGGCTGGCTCATACCTGCTGAAAGCCCAACAACAATTAGCAACCAGCTGGTGGAGGAGGTGAGACATTTCTCTGTTGATGAGACAAACAGTGGCCTCAGGAGTGGCTGTTAAACAAGAATAAATGTCTGTACAAATCAATGTTAATGAGACACTGCACCGACCGCAGGCTTGGACTAATGGTTGGACTCTGTTGTCCTGAATGTATGAAGACCACTGCTGATGGAGGTCAGGTGACAAAGTGTCTCTTTGGTCAACTCAAAACTTCCACCCTGTTAAAATGAAAACCGCCAGAACCGCGACACAGAACCAAAGGTCCACGCAGAACCCAGGCAGACATCTGTGTTCTCGTTTGACTAAATTGATTAATTATACAAACGGATTCAGTTTGGTTTGTTTCACCTGTGATTAATCTTTAACCTGACCCTAATTCTGAGGTTTGCCAAAGGGACGCTTTGTATACTATATATAATTATATTATAGATAAAATGACATGAGATGTGATGTGATTTGTTATGTTAGATATGATACAGAATAGTACGATACGATGGAACTACAAATCCCACACAATATCCTTTTCACTCAGACAGTAGAATGATATAAACCATTCAGACAGGTCATCAAAACCCCATAAAATAATGGGAGAAAAACCCGAATAACATAAAATGAAAAAGAAAGTCAACTATTTACATAATAATGTTAAGAAAGATGAAAGAAAAGTAGAAGATGGAATAAAATGGAATTGAAAAAAAAGTCATTCGTTCCAAAATGTGAATATGAATATAAATGAAAGTATTGCACATATTTAAAAACTAGTCCAAAAACTTTCATTTTCTGTAGTGCATTCAATCCATTTAAATAGATAGTGCCAATAAATATAACACTCAATAATTGCAATATATTATTTATTTTATCCATGTTAAATATACCTTAAGGAGGAAATAGTGTCAGTTGTCACCTCCTGCAACTGTATTTTAAAGAAAAAAATCAAGTAAAATCAAGTGGAGTCTTGTGAATGGAAATTAAAAATTTACAAAGACTTACGACTAGTTACGTCTACACAACATCCTGCTAAGGGGCATTAGCATGACTTTTTTTTAATTGTGCTTCATGATGCATGTTAGCTTAGAAAATTAAACAAATTCAGATGACCACAATTTAATTGAAACACAGAGAGCCTCCGTCCTCATTGGTCCGCGGAGGTCTGAGAGCGGCCGTCCATTGTTAATCTATTCTTGGACAAATGAAAAGCTGACTCCATAATACCCAGGTAGACGTCAGTGTGTAGTTATATAAAGACTCATTATCATTAGAATAAGGAACAAGAATTAAAGTCAGGGCCGAAGAACCCGAAACCCAGTTCCTGGGCTGGATGTTCATGTTCTGTGGGGAGGTGGTTCTCCCTGGAGCGCCCTGAAAAACTCTGAAATATCTAAAGTTTAATAATAAAATAATACCAAATGAGAAGCCTTTTTATTAGTGCATAATTCAGCCTCATTGATTATTTATCCGTGCAGCTGGGGACTGAGAGCAGTCTGAGAGGTTATACAGCACAGCCTCCTGCAACAGAAATAAGTTCCAAGTAGAAGGGATAATATAGTTTACATTTAAATGAAGCCACCGTGGCTCGGCTGGGAAAGGGAAACCTCCACATCAGATTCAGTTTCCCCGACTCTACTGTTCAAATACACTGCGTGTGGTACGTTTAAAATAAAGATAAGAACTGCGCAACATTAGCAAGTGTATGGCAGACAGAAGAAGGTGACTGAGGAAGACCCGCAGCATCACTTAGTGGCAGCTGCAGGTACACTACGGACAGATAATAATATATAATAATGACACATTTATAAACACTCAACACAAAATTTGCCAGGGTCTTAAACCGGGGGTCGGTGACCCTGAGGGGGTCCATGGAGGAACAGCAGGGGGAAGTAGGATTGTTTTGTTTTGTGAAAAGTCAGAATAGTCAAACTTGAATTGCATGAAAAAATGGAATGACGTTTGTTGTGAAACAAAAACATGAATATTCCTGAGCTGGTGGCTGTTGTTCACGAGGATTACACTCATCTTTCTGAGAAATGCAGCCAGAACCTGGTGTCTGGCCCTGCAATGAGTTTGCTGAGGGTCAAAACAACTACAGGGTGTTCTTTCAAGCATTAAAGGCTCTGGTCCTAAAGGCGTTGAATCTAAATCTGCCGTGGCCCTAAGAACTGACATTGCGTGTTAGAAAACAATTGGTCTTGTTTTCTTTTGCATTTTTTTATCACACTCCAATCAGCAGCATCTCAGTTCATAAAGCTCCTTCAGTTTGAGAAGTAAAAAAAGACCAGTGGTTCATAACTGGCTGAATTTTCCTCTTGTTGATGGCCAGTGTTAACCAGCCGCTGACTGAAGTCTTGGTTCGAAGCTTAAACTTTATTATTTTGGCACTAAACCCAGGTGACAGAAACTACAAACATTTTTTTTTTTCTAAATTAAATTTGTGGTCATACAGCGCAAGGTTTTCCAAGTTGTTTGGAGAGAGGAGTTCATTGAAGGCTGGACGCTGGTCGTTTTTTGACTGTCAATCACAGAAAGATACCTGCGTGGCCTGGAATTCATAACCAGATAATCAACAAATCAGTCGTTTCTCCTGTTTCTTCTCAGTGTTTAAGCTAATTTATCAAAAGAAGGCAGATGCTGGGCTCCAATACATTTTCCAAATACAAAAAAACCAAAACAAAAATGTAATGGGTTCGATCTCCTGAACAGCAGTCTAGGCCCATTTACAGGCGATGTCTGGCTGTAATTATGGTGAAAAAATAGAAACATGAACATCATCTGTAGCTGAGTTTCAAATAAAATCTCCTCAAAGTCGCTCTGTTGAGTCTATGCAGCAAATTGAAAGTGCACACATTTGCATGAGTTTAGCTGATGTGCACTGACGAATTGACCTCTTTTACTTGCACATGATTAGCATTTCATTGGAATTAATGTGGATCTGCTTTTTTAAAGTCCCTTCCAAGAAAGTTTTAGTAAATTCACAAAACTTTACAGACATGAAAAATGAGTCAAACGAAGCTAAATGATTCCTGTAAATGTATTCATGGATCCAAGTTCTAAAGACGGGAAACTAAAGACCAAGCAAAACAAATTTGCATGCCATTCACTGATTGAAAAAAAGAAAGAAAGAAAGAAAGGAAATGCCAGTGACTCAAGTGTAGTCGTTACATATGCACGACCACAAGATAATAATTTACATCGTTTTCTGTAACAGCAATACATTTCATGATTTTTAAAGCTGTATATTTTTAACTGTACAAACCACCGTATGAGTTGCTGCCACCTAGTGGCTGGAGGCTTGTTATCATTCAAGCATTGCACAAGCAGTGGTATACTTATGTTCAGAATGCCATATTCCATTGTTTTTAGTCAAGGACTTATCTCTTAGCAGTAGACATTCGGGAAAATTAATCATGTACCATGTGTCACATCTGAACAATGCTGTATTCAAACAGCTACATCTATACTTGATGCAGGGTCAGCACAGGTCAAAGGGAGCTAGGTCTAAAAGAATGGCTGGCTCCATGTTTAATGAGCTTGGAGCGAACCCAGACTTTGATGTCTTTCATCCGTGTAGCACTCGGTGAGTGCAGCCTTCATCAAGGCCCTTCCTTTCACCACACTCTTGCTCTCACCCTTTCCTCCCTCCCTCCCCTCGCATCTCTTTCACGCTGCAATGTCCAGACTCTGCTTCTCACGGTTCCTTTTATTTTAACCCTGTTAAATCTGGTCAATTTCAGCATTGTCTGTGTAGGCTTTGCTACAGTGTATTTTAACTGTCAATGCTGTTTTCAGCCATTTGCATTGAATGATATGAACGTGAGTCTTAGACGCTGGTTTGATTGAAAACAACGCAGCATCTGCAGTATAGTAACTTTGCAGTATGGTTTGACTGCGTCCATTCCTGGCTATTTGAACTGTCTTAGTTTGGGACAAGTAATGCAGGTATATTTTAGAGATTGTTCTGGAAGGCTTTGTTGAAAGTTAAATTTACTTTTTGAGCCCCTTGATGTAAATTGCAGAAGCTGAGATTTAATTAATTAGATTAGTCTTTATAAATAACAAGTGTACAGTTTTAAGATAATCTGGCGCACATTAAAGACAAATACCCTGTAACTGTTTTCATTCAGTGGGAAAAAATTATAACACCGACTTTCAAGTCCACATTTTCAGCTTGTCTGTGGTTCATTTTTATTGTTAATTAGTGTGGACGCTAGGAAAAGAGTGGAGGTTTTGTAATTAATCAAATTGTTTTTAAATTTCAGTAACAAAAACTTTGAAGCTCTGAACCCCATCACCTGATCTATTGTGGGTTAGATACACCATCTGTCTGTACCAGGACTGTTGTAGCTAACGTTAGCTCTGGTATCTGTCCCAGTACTGTTGTAGCTAACGTTAGCTCTGGTGTCTGTTCTCACAGCAATATGTTTTACAGGCGATACTGTGGACTTGAAGTACTGCTGTGATGAGAGAACTCTTTTATTAGCGCTGGATCAATTTGCTATTTGCTAAGTTGTTGCAAGTGGAATAAGTAGACTAACAATGGTGAAATTTAAATTTTTAAAAAATATATAAGTTTTATATATTTTTAAATAATAATTTGAGGAAAAAAGTTCAGTAATTTCCAAACACTGGTAATCAAAAGTCTTTTATTTGAATCATATGAGATTTTTTGTTGTGCATTCAGTTTTATAAATGAGAACCAGTGTGATTCCATTTATGCTAATACAGAATGTGTACCGATGAAATCTTAATAATTACATTACATTAGATTACAAGTTTGTGTGCTTGGGTGAGTTGAAATATTGGATTTGCATAAAACTAATTTCAGTCCAAACTGATGAACCTATTTTTCTCCCTATAATTAATGATGATTACTGATGCAGAACAACTCACCCGCCGACTTACACTTAACAAAAGTCTGAAGCCCTCATTGTGCAGTGGTGATTTGGTGATGAGGTTAGTACAGGAGGTTAGTGGTTGGATGTGTCAAATCATTATGTGAATATCTGAAGTCCCAGTGGTTTTGTAAACAACAAACGCAATCTGCCTGTGCCTCCATTGTTCAGTAATAACTAACTGATCCTTGTCGTATCCTGTTGTTAAGGAAAAGCCAGCAGTGACAACAGTGTACTATTTTGCAGTGCAGTCAAAAAACTTTTGGTTCTGTCAACTCTGCCGTATGAAAGAGATTTAAAACAAAATGTTTTTTCCATCCATGTTAGGCTGCATCAGTCTTAGCCCCACCCCTAATGATCTGGTTGGTTGACTTGTTCATACAATAATAACTCATTAAATTGTCCAGCTATGAAAAATACAAGTGATTCAACTACACAACCGTATAAGTAATATTTACAATATTTCTGGTGTTATATACTATAACGCAGGTGCCATGATCTTGTATTACGGGCTCTATTTCCCATAGAGGGTGAGTCACTGTAGCAGTTTCTCACAGTGACATGCAGGTGAGCTTTTTAGTTAGTGGCTGAAATGGGGTTTTTTTTTCTAGCTTGAAGATGAATTTTCACCTCGAGATATTGTTATTAACAGGCACTCAGACTTCCACAACCCCCCCAACAAGCTTTGGGTTTATGTGTCTATTTGTACCTACAGTATGTGACCCTTGTACTTCTCATAAAAAAAAAAATCAAACTAAACATCGAGTCTGTGTGGCGTGATAAGGAGACGGTAACCTTTTTTCACGTTGATGCATTAAACCAGCACAAATGCCACATTTACATGTTGTTTTCTTCATGCTTGTTGAGAATATCCCTCTCTGCCTTACAGCGTAATGACCTTCAACTGAACCACAAACGACATCTGGAATTATCACCTGATATTTCATATAAACCAGGCCCGTTAATATTCTCCTCTGCGGTGAACAGTAAGCCTTTGTTTTTTTCTTATTTCCACTTACTGCCTGGTGTACAGTGTCACTTGCTCACCACTCACCCAAGTCATTCACACACATTTTGCTTCACATTAAGTGTTGAGATGAAAGTTGTGTTTGGCTTGTTAATATTCGCAGCTACAGAATTAAATAGGCTTGTTACCGCCTCTAAAACTATAACCACACCGACCTGAAACTCATTTCTTTAAAGGTTAATGGATTCCTTTTTTTTTTTTTTGGACAGGATAATGCAGGCACAGGTCTCTTTAGATGAAGAATGGTCTTCATTAGGACTTAATTGGCTGTAGGGCTTTATGATCAGGACTCTTATCTGACAGGCAAAACATAGAAAACAGGCTTTAATGAAGGGAGGCTGTTCCTTTTATTGCAGAAGGGAATGGAGAATCTGCTACTCAATGGTTTATAAAAAAAAAAAATAAAAAAAAAAGGCAGAATTGTGACAGGTCTGGCTTTCACTGAAGATCGCAAAATGTAGGCCTGCATGTACCCTGCTGTTATTGTGCTCCACTTAAAAACACAGCTGGAACAATAAAGGGAACAGTGGGTGTTCACGACGATACAGTGAGTCCTAATGTAACACATCCCTTTAAACAGTGCTCAGAGGGTCAGAAGCATGAAAAGCACAGACACATAGCGCGCTGCCTTCAATGGAACACATAAGTGTGAAATTCAATCATTAGCATTTCATGGATTTTTTTTTTGTTCATGGCTGCAGCAGTTTAAAGAGAAGTCGAGTTTAAAGCCTGCTCTTCTCCCAGGGTTCTTTATGCTTATTAGTAAACAAGGATATAACTAGTATAAAGTGTGTCACTACTAACAGCTACAAAACAACCAGTTCTGAATATATTACTTCTGCTTATAATGAGTCATTTTTTGTCTCTTAAAGGAGATATGTTCCTCCCTTAAACATATGCAGGTGCAGTACAAATCACATGACCTTATACTCAATTTGTCTGTTCTCTGTGTTTGTAACGTGTATTTTTGGTACATGGAAAGCTTGCAAATGTGTTCCCCAAAGCATGTAACACAGCAGTAGCACTCGGGCGTGCAGTGTTGCACAGTATGGCTTACACATGCCCAATTCTTCAGAACAGCAGCAATTCTTCTCCGTTCATTGAGACTCGGCTGGGAGAGTTTTCCTTTAGAACTCTTTGTTATTCTTTGTGCTGAAAATGGTTTAATATCCTTGGTTGCATGTTTGTGAAAAGGGTGTTTGAATTCTGCCTCAGGTGCTCCATTTATCCATTTTATGATTTGAACATCCTTACGAACATTGAGTCCAAATGTTATGAATGTGCATCAGGGCCGAATTTAATGTTCGGTAAGAAAACAGAGTCAGCCTTGAAACAAGGTCAATGTCACTGGTCAAAATCCAGTCCTGAATGAGAAGCTGCACTGAATGAAAACATGGTTTAAAAAAAGATGCCGTGGGAATAAATTGAGCTTTTAAGGCTCTCAGACCTTGATTAGGAAATGAGCTGCATTACATTTACATTGGTAACATTTGTATGAGATGAATGACGGAACCATAATTATAACTGTTTTTACTGCAAGAAAGATTCTGACCCAGAAAGAGGTGTTACAGCAGAGTGTTATGTGCATCATGTCAGCGTGTGGGAAGATGAAGCTGAAGTCAGAAAATGTAGGAAAAGCACAGAAGACAGACATCAGGAGCTTTTTTCTCCCTCTGTTGAGTCAGAGAATTAAAATGTTGAAGTAAAGAGCGCTCTGGTAGAAACAAAAGGTTTTTTTAATTATTAATACCAAGGAGAAGATTGGAAGTGTGATGGGATAAAGAGCTGTGGGCACGGTGTGTTTTCTAAGACTGCGTCTGTGCCTCCCTCCGCTCATATTCAAGTTAACAATTGGATTTTCTTTTTGTTCTTTTTTACTTGTTTAATATGTTTTTTGGTCTGTGATCAGTACATCACATTTTATAACAGGTAGCATATACACATGCTTGAAATATTTTTTTTTTATTATTTAAGCTTCATCATGATGATAATATTATTAATATTTTTTGTCACTATCATGTTTTTCTGATATTGTCATTCTTATAACACTAATACTAATTAGAGGTGTGTATTGGCAAGAATGTGGCGATACAATAAGTAGCACAATACAGGGGCAATGATACGATATTTGAGATATACAGTACTGCAATACTGTAGGCACGACAGTATACTGAGATTTTTTGAATGAATGAAATTGAAATGACCCATCAACATAAATATGTTAAACATATTTAACTGCTGTTACTACACACAACATTACACAATATGTCCCTCCTTTTTTATTACAAATACTCATAAAGCAGTTATTGAAATGCACAGCATTCAAAGCTTCATTTTTGAGTTTCTTATTATTCTTATTATTGTCTCCATCTCTTCACCATAACTTCCATGTTATGGTTGTGATATTCCAGGATTCAATGATGATTCGTAGTAATGCGTCTCCCCTGACCTTGGTCATTGTGCAGTATTTAATAATAATTTAAGAGATTCTCCATGGCAGAGCTATTTCTGCTATTTATTGCTTTATTTATGAGTGCTATTATAAAAGGACATGTGTGAATTAAAGTGGTGTGTCTTCATTTTCAGTCACTGCTAAGGATGCATCAGGGCTGTAACCATGACAGGGATGCATTGTGAATTGATTAAAAATACAAATGCGTGACAATTTGCATCGATTGAAATAATAAAAAAAATTGAATTGTGCGTTATCTCAAAAAACTCAGTGGTCATACCATGAGACTACACACTCGAGCTCAGTAAGTGGCTGTATGGGCTTCAGAACGTCAAGACTTTGGGTCCTATTTAGCCTCGGTGACATTCAGGGTTCATATAGAATGTGGCGAGAACTTAGTCCACAGACGCAAACAGTGTTTCTGTAAAGAAAGGAGCTCTTTCCAGTTAATACTTTTTAGAGTATTAGACAGTTTGGAGTATATTAAGAACTGAAATAATAATAATGTGATATTATTTTTTTTAACCCTAAAACTCTGTTTTAAACAACAGAACTTTACTGGATGATTATTAATATATGTATATTTATCTATATATATG